CAGTTTGACTGCTTGATGTCCTGGAGTAAAGAAGAAGATTTTTAAAGATTGCATTATTTTTGGTGGTTTTAGCCCCACCCCTCAGGCCCCAGGGGGGGCAGGGACCATGAAATTCACATTCTTTGTTCCCCTTCACCCATAGATGCTATATGCCAAATTTGGTTGAAATTGGTTAAGCGGTTTCAGAGAAGAAGCTAAAAATGTTCAAATGTTAACACACGACGCACGTACGACGCACGCCGACGGACGAGAACGGATAGCAATAGGTCACCTGAGTGACTCAGGTGACCTAAAAATAAATCCACACAATTTAGGGAAACATGATACAAACAAAAAATGGAAGCACTGATTGGTATATTTTTTGGACCTATTTTGGCTGTAAATGATGCGAATATTAAATTTCTAAAATATAGATTATAGACTTTTTATGATGTTAAAAATTCTACCTTTTTGCGTTTACTCTTATTAATCCTTGCAACTTTTAATCACTTTATAGGACCTTACTGAGAAATTTTAAATAAAAAAATTAAAATGTTCATATAACTTATATTAACATGACTTAAGTAGTTATTTTTATGATATTTTAAGAAAGTTTTATGCATCATTTGTCCTTAAGAATGCTTGCAAATTAATGGTTTTAATTGTAGGTTTTCAAAAGATTTTTTTTAAAATTCTTATATAGTCTCATGTATAATTTTGATCCTTTATTGTGATCCCACCCTACCCCTGAGGGAAATGATTTAAACAATTCTGAATCTACACATGTCACAGAAATTTAATCTTTTATGACCTACATGTAGCTGTTCTCGAGAAGAAGATTGTAAAAGAAGTTAATCTCATATGGTACCTATTTTGATGCACCAGATGCGCATTTCGATAAGATTTGTCTCTTAAGTGATACTCATACCAAAAACGTTGGAAATCCGAAATATTTAAATTTAAAAACAAATTGAAGAGCTAAAAAAGGGGTTCCAAAAAGTGGAGCCAAATACGTCGAAGAATGAGCTATGCATGAGGAAGATAATCCTTAATTTTGAAATAAATTTCTAAATTTTACAACAGCAATTAAATATTATCCGTATTTTGAAGCTAGTACCGTAGTACTAAGCTACTTGGCTGTAGAGACTCTAAGGGACTTACATATTAAATTATACTATAATAAGTTAATAACAGCTTAGATTTGATTTAATTTATTCCAATGTACAACTTTGATCACCTATTTTGGCCCAAAAATGTTCCTCTTTGGGACTCTACATTTTGTCAGGCAGCTTTAACTAAAGCTTCATCTGTTATGGTCCAGCTGTTCTTGAGAAGGAGATTTTTAAAGATTTGCTCCAATATATTTAATTAAATACCACATAGTCTGACACATCTGTTTCATATTTGGATATTTTATTAGAAAAAGACGTTAATGGTAGTCTAACAACAAAGCTTTATGATAAAAGTGATGACTTTAACTTTTCAATCGTCAACTTCCCTTACTTATGCAGCAATATACCCTCATCACCTGCATACGGAGTTTATATCTCTCAGTTGTTTCGATACGCAAGAGCATGTTCTAAGTATGAAAATTTTCTAAAACGAGGTAAGTTATTGACAAACAAGTTGATGAAACAAGAATGTCAGCAATCTCGTTTCGTAAGTTCTATGGTCGATACAATGACCTTGTCAGCAAATACAATCTATCGTTAGGTCAAATGCTGACTGACTTTTTTCATACTAATTGTTAGGCCATTATTTACACACTGAATTGTCGACGGATTTTTCCGTTATTTCCCGATCATGACAAGGACCACACGGCGGGTGTGACCGGTCGGCAGGGGATGCTCGCTCCTCCATGGCACCTGATCCCACCTCTGATGTCAAAGAGGTCCGTGTTTGCTCTGCTTCTATTTTGTATAATGTTTAATGGACTTTTGAGCTCGAATATTGTTCGATAACTCCACATATTTCATGTACAATTTTGATCCCGTATTTGTCCCGCAGGAGCCATGATTTGAACAAATTAGAATCTACACAACCTTAGGAAGCTTTCATAATTAAGTTTCCCTTTCTCTGGCCAAGTTTTTCTTCAGGAAAATATTTTTTAATGACCCGACCCTATTTTTGCCTTTTCTTCATTATTTCCGTTTGGAAGGGGTTTGATCCTTCATTTGACTATTCAGAATCCCCTTTGTCCATGAGTGTTTTGCATTTGATATTGATATATATGTTGTCACAAAGGGTCCAAGTGATATTTATTGCAAAACTGAGCAGTTTTGATTTTTCAAAAAATCACAGGGCCAAAAAAGTCCTTAAGTGAACCTTACTCTAGTCTTTAAGCTTAAGAAAACATAGTTGAGTATACCATATATCTATTCATTTATATTAAAATGAATTTTGAGTTTTGGGCTTGGACAAAGTAAATTAAATTTCAATTCCATGATACATTCCTTCTTATACATCCCCCCTCTTTTCATAAACTAGTATATGTTTTACGGTGTGACCAATGTGGGGGGAGTGCAGTTGTGCCATCAAAAACCTAAACAAAGCTTACACTTGTAATTTGATCCGCCTCTTTAAATAGCACGTGAAACAGTCCAGATTGTGACGTCATATGACGTCGTATGTTAGTTGCATTTCCATAAAGAATAAAAAAGGTGAAGATAAACAAACAGTGATCGATCTCAAAAAAATCTATAAACAATATAATTCTGTGGAAATGGCATAAAACAGGAACCCCTGGAAATTTCAGAGGAAGGATCAGGTGCCTAGGAAAAGTAAGCATCCTTTGTTGTCCTGTCACCCCCGCCGAAAGCCCTATGTATTGATCTGGAAGACTGAACATTCTGTAGTCGAATTCAGTGAAGAAATAAAAAACAAAGGCCTAATATTGTTATGAAACAATTCAGCCAAAATACTACCCAATGATAGGTTATATTTGCTAAAAAGGTCATTATAACGATCATAAAATTTACGAAATGCTGACTTTAAACGAGATTGTTGATATCCCTGCAACACCAGCTTATCTGTTAGTAGTCTGTCTCGATTTTAAATTTGATCGTACTCCGAGCATGCTCTTGAGTATATATCGAATAAGTTGGGCGATGTAAACACCATGGCAGGTGATCGCGGGATATATATTACTACATTAATCAGGAAAGTTGACGATGAAAAGTTGAAGTCATCTCGTTTGTCATACAATTTAGTTATCAGTTGGCTCTTATCGTCTACAGTTAGTTATTCATCCAAATATGAACAGACGCGGTAGACTCTGTGGTGTCTTTTGTTTCAAATTCACTGGAATATATCGAATCGACATATGAATGGAAGTAACTATTGTTCATTGGTAATACATCGTCGATATATCTAAATGTCAATTTGAAGGCCACAGCAAGTGCTTTCTTCTTCTCATGTAGAAGTTTCTGAATAAATTCTGCTTCAAAGGAATATAAAAACAGGTCGGAGCACAATTAGTGCCCATCGAAATTCCAACAGTTTGTTGGAAGACCTGATCTCCGAAGACTACATAAATGTTGTCAATGAGGAATCACAGCATCCTTTTAATATCAATTTCACAGTACTTGTATGTAGAATCAGTGTGATTTTAACAAAGTTATTTGTTGATGACCAAACATAAAATAGGAAATTTCCGACTTTCATTTTTAAAAGTTCTTTGGAGTTTTTGAGAATCCACATCTGATTTACACCACTTCTAGATACGCTGTAGCACAGTACGTCTAAAGTTTCTCCTTAACAGCAGAAACATTTTTGTAAGGAGTAAAGATAGGGGCCTAACAGAACATTTGCTTGACTCTACAATGTATCTCTGTTTGTAAGGATTTTTATGAAGTTAAGGAATCAAGTATAGGTAGGGTAGATCGAACTCACCTTGGCTGACTGAAATGTTAAAAGTCATAACCGAGTCCAAATAGTGCAATTTCTTAACCAAAATAATCGAGAGTAGATGTAGTTTTCAATTTTTTGATTGTTTATTTGTTTGTTTTGCTTTTAAGCTTTCTGCAAGAAAATTTTTTTAATGATAACTGTAGGTCTGTTACATTCGCCATTATCGCATGGAATCATAGTCACAAAAGAATTCTGAGAAGTTTTCACACAAAAGTTTGCTTGACGAATGTGCAGATTTCATTCCGAATTTCCTCTGTTCTTACATATTATTCCATTTTGAACTCGTTGTTCTTACAGAGATCCTAAAGGAGACAAGAAATAAAATTTTGCAACCACTCTTCAGTGCCTTTCGTTTAAAGAAAATGCAAAATTTAGACTCAGTTATGGAAATGCAACCAACAAACAACGGCATATGACGTCACAGTCGACGCTGAGTCCGTGCAGTTTGAAGAGGCGGACGAAAGTTAGAAGTGCAAGTGTAAGTGAGGCTAAACGTTTTAAAAAACAACTGTGCTCGCCCCAGCTTTCTCGCCGTTAAAACATGTTTTATTTGAAGAGGTAATCATTAAACGGCCTCATAAAAAAGGGAAAAAAAGCTGGGATTGTAAATTCATCAGAATTATTTCCTAAGGGAAAACGTAAATGTAATGGTCTGTTAGTGGAACTAATGGAGCTGTATGATATTGAAGAAGAGCAGCAACACTCAAGTTAAACATGGGATCGCTACGATAAGGAAATAATTGTCTTTCTTATTACAATCACTCAGTGGACGTTTTGTTTTGCTACATGTTTTTTTTAAACAAACATGGACGGCTAATTGTGAAATCATTAATAATTGATTACCCAATTTTTTCTTGAACAAAATATATCTGAGGTCATTAAATGAACAGAAAGTGTTTTGGAGCAAAAACCAAATGATATTTATATCCTACTACGGTTTTAATATTTGATATTAAAAAATTTTATTATTATAATTATTTTGGGTTTTTTTAAAATCTTTTTTGAACTTTTAATTGACTTATCACATAGTTCTCTCCGAGGAATTGCTTATGTCGGACAAGTTAGGGTCAAGCCTTATCTTCCATTTCTGTCTGTGTGTAATCAAGTCAATAATGTCTGCTCTTAATCGCATGTTACTTGGTTTGTACTTTTGTTTTTATGCTTTAAAATTTATTAGGGAAAGACGATTTTTCACTAAAAATCTCGTAAAGAATAGAGATTTACCAATTTATAAATTTTTCTTTCTTTAATCCTGGTTTCGCATAGTACTGGTGCTAGTATCGACAGTGCATGGTGTTTATAATGGTAAGTTTATCAGTATATTTGTGATTGATGTACATTTATATCAATTATATTTTATGTTTCAAATAAATAAAACGCCCAATTCCAGTATTAAAGTTTCATTACATTGCTTACCAATAACAATTTATTCTGTCTTGGAAAATTTTATATAGAGTCTTAAATATCAATTTTGATTTTTTTTTTCTTCAATAAGGTCAACTTTTGTGTTCTCACTGTCAAGGAAACAGACATAAACAGCAGTGTCACAATTTCCAGTTGTGTCATATCGGAGAGGTAGGTACGTCAATCTTTCATATTTTAGTAGAAATGCCCTTTTTCAAATTGACTATGATAAAGCTATGCAAATACAAAATTCGTTTTAATGGCATTGCGTCCATTAATGATGAAATTGTATTATTAATCAATACATGCATGTTTATCATCAGTGATATAACGTCACCAATGATATAAATCATGTCATTGTCATCTACTAAGGATACATTATTTTGGTCATTTATGATTAAAATGATAAAAATATATATGTGACCGTAAAGTCATCAATTGATACAAACAAATCATATTGAAATGCAAAGTCATCCACTGATACAAATATGTCATATGTGGATATAAAGCCATCCACTGATAAAAATATCACATGTGGATGTTAAGTCATCCACTGATACAAATATATCATACATGTATGTGGATGCTAAGTCGTCTACTGATATGTATCATATATGGATGTAAAGCCTTCTACTGATATAAATATATCATTTGTGAATATAAAGTCATCCACTGATTTGTCTGAGGAGCATAATTGCTAATAAATTGTATGGGTTTCAAAAGCTTTAATGTTGACGTCAACTAAGATTGGCATGAAGAATTTTTTTCAGAAATGTTTTACGACAACGTACAGCATACACGGACAGTCAAGACTGTACACTGGCTGTATGCCTGATTCGGTAAGGATACAACAGCTAAATCTGTCTATATAATTTTTAGATAACATTTGAGTTAATGAAGCTTGCATTAGAGGTGAACCCTCGGTTTTTCAATGTAACAAGCTTTCGTCAACAATTATTGAATTCGAGCTGATTTGGCACAAATTCGCAGATTGTAAAAAAAATTTGCTTGTTTTTAAGGACTGTTCTTCCTTAGGATCTCAAAAGATCGACCAGTCTGGTGATCTTCCTCAGGGAAGTGTCATCATACAACAGAAATGCTGTAATACCGACGGTTGTAATGGGTTACAGGGTAGGTGTTATTGTAATACCGATTGTTTTAATAGGTTACAGGGTAAGAGTTTTGTTATACAGACTATTGTAATGGGTTACTGGTCTAACTGGGTAGGTGTTTTCGTAATACCTATTGTTGTAATGGGTTAGAGGTAATTATTATTTTAATAGCAACTCCTGCAATGAACTATGCATTTTAATACCGCGCATGATGTGTGTTATACTAAGACCACTGTGCTTTGTAATAAATTGTTGTAATTAGTTACAGGTTATGTTTTTTTGGAATAACTACGGTTACAATGAGTTATAGGGAAGATGTTATTGTTAAACTGATGGTTGTAATAAGTTACAGGGTAGGTGTTACTTGTTATACCGACTGTTACACGTCTTTCATTCAAAATGTTAAGCAATTACTTTCATTCTGAGTTGTCGTCGATAGATTTCTTCGTCTATCCAAACATGGCGTATGTAACCGGTCGACATGGGATACTTACTCCTCCATGGCATCTGATCCCACCTCTTGTTTTCTGAATTCTGTGTTTGCTCTGCTCATAATTTGTATTGGGAGCATGATTACTTTTCGTTTAACATTTCATTGAATGGGTTACAGGGTAAATTTTATTGTAATACCGAATTTGTAATGAGTTACAGGGTATGTATTATTGTAATACCGACGGTTTTAATGAAATACAGGGCAGGTGTTAATGTAATTCCGAATGTTGATTTGAGTTTTTTTTTGTAATATCGACAGTTGCAATTGGCTACGGTATGCATGTTATTGTGATATTGACGGCTATACTTGATCACAGGGTAGGTGCTATAGTAATATCAATTTTATGACATACAGAATTTGTTGCGAAACTGACGGTTAAAATAAGGTTTTTTTACCGACGGTTGAAATGGTTACAAGGTAAGTTTTTTGCTATAGTGACAGAATTAAGTATTCCAACCGAAAAAGTCGTAATGAGGGCAAGAAGATACTTTGAAATCACTAATCACAGAATCTGACACATGTGTTTCATATTTGGATATTTTACTAGTTTTTATCGTTAACTTTCCTTGTTTTATCAATATACCATTGTCACCTGCATATGGAGTTTATGTCTCTCAGTTGATTCGATACGCATGAGCATGCTCTATGCAAGAACAATTTCTAAAACGAGACAAGCATTGAAAAATAAGTTGATGAATCAAAAATATCAACAGTCTCATTTAGAGTCAACATTTCGCAAATTCTATGGTCGATACAATGATCTTGTCAGCAAACACAATCTATCATTAAGTCGAATGTTGACTTACGTTTTGCTCATTAATTTCACACTGAATTGTTTCTACGGATTTTGTCGTTTTCCCGGTCGTGTTGAGGAGCAAACGGCGAGTGTGACCGGTAGACAGGGGATGCCTACTCCTCCATGGCATCTGATCCCTGATTTTTTATTTAGGTCCGTGTATGCTCTGCTCCAAATGTGAAGTGTTTCAGATGACTTTTGAGCTTGATTACTGTTCGTTATCTTCATAATTTATATCATAGTACAGTATGAAGTTTCATCAAAAAACAAAATCAAACCCCCTTGAAGCAACTTTTTTCTCTATCCTTGATAATATGACCCCACAAAATAAGTGATTCTGTAGTACTCATACTCCCTCTCTCTGCACTTTCAAAAGGGGGCACATAACACCCCACTCTCCATCCGCACGTCCCCCCTTTACTACGCTTTTGATTAATCAGGCAAAAAAAGATATTCATATACGCGAATGTAACGTTTTTTGAATGAAGAATCAGCTCTACTTTTTATTTTGTTTTCACAGTTTTATGTAGTGTATTAAATCTTAATTTTAAATCATTTCAACTTCTTTATGGGTCTGACTTAATAAAAGAAATTTATTTACCTTAATCATAATAATTTGATTTTGAACTGGTAGGTAATGGCAGTAGAATAGCGTGTATGAGCTGTTCAGAGGATGAGAAATATGCTTCCCAGTGTCAACACGCTACTCTGTGTAACCCTGGGCAGGTAGGCAGGTTCGTTTCTTCAAGTCCTAGTGTCTGAAACATTCAGAACAAATTAGCTAAATTAAACGTCACCACAGATCTATTCATTGATTCTGACACTATGTTATATATATGAGAATATTTACATTTGCAAATGTTTTCTTTTATATAACACTATTGAAAGCAATGCGTATCTATATCCGTATAAACACGGGTTCCTCGCGTCATAAACGTTCGACGTAATTTTTCAGTGACGTCATAAAGGGTCGACGCGCAATCAGAGGATCAAACACGTGCCGTTGGGTTTGAAAAATAAAACGTTTCACGCGTTAAAGATTATAATCAGGCAAATATAAAATATGAATAAGTCACAAATGTAAATATAAGTAATAAGGTATCATTTTTAAACATCTATCGGGCTATAAATACGGGTTGGTACGAGATCAAATTTACCATAAAGCCCTTCGGGCTTTATGGAATTTGATCTCGTGACCAACCCGTATTTATATCCCGATAGATGTTTAAAAATGATACTTTATTTCTTAAGTATATTTTCCTTAGGAATGCATGTTCTATCAGTATTTGGACACCAGCACCTACCAAAAGAGGATACATCTGAGCTGTGCTAACCATGAAGTATATATTATTTACACTAGTTTAGTCATTAATTGGAATACAATGCTGTGGTTATTGTTTTTATCGATATTAATAATTTGAGAATCAACTTTTGCTATCATTCTAAAAGTATTAGGCAATAGATGTTAAATAAATTTATACCTTCAAATTACAACGTAAGATAGATTTTCTTTCAATGAGTTTCTTGTTATTCCACTTTGAGATTAAAGAGAAAGTTCCTCGTCGTTATTTTAGATATAGAAAAATTAGCTTACTAAATATAAAGAAACTGAAACGTTAACTTATAGGGTTTGCTACATTATTAATTTGTTAGTCTTGAGACTGTGAAACTCATTGATAGGTTTGTGAAATCCTACGAAGTCAGCCTATGGTGTTTGGCAAAAGAGAAGAAATAGCCGTGAAAAAACATTGTTGCAATACGGATTATTGCAATATATTCTGGGGTATTTTCTTTTTGTATTATTAAAAAATAGAAATAATTTGTTTACTTCATAGATACTGTTAAACAAGTAATTATACGTGCATTTTTAAATAAGTGTTTAAATGCATGTATTATTCCAAAACCTCGAGATAAAATATGCACAGTGCTTTGATCTGTATTTGAAGATCATACGTCTGTTGTGAATTCAAACACACACACAACTCAACAAACCACAAAAACAACAACCCCAGTGAGGATGACAACAACAAAAAAACCACTGTCAACAACATTTACCACTCTTTCTACAACAACAACACCAGGGATTCATTTCATTCCTATAACAAATCCCCAGACAACACAAACTCCAACCACTCCGAAAATTTTTGTCACTTTAACCAATCCTGTGAGCAGAACGCCCGACCAACAAATCTCAACTATAGAACAACACACTCCAACACTTGGACAACATACCCAAACTGTAGAACAACACACTCCAACTGTAGAACAGCATACCCCCACACCGGAACAACACACTCCTTCACTTCCTCACATGCCAATTACAACATCCGCACAACATATCCCAACCACTTTTACAAAAACAACTCAACGGAAAACCGAAACAACAAATATCCCGACCACTTCAACTACGACATTGCCAACAACTTCCACGGAGCCCCCAGCCAACAGCAAGTACTTTTCTTTTATCACACCGGCAAAAGAGTTTGCTTTGTCAGCTTTAATGGGATTATGCGGAATGTGATGTTTGGCTAGTGATAGCAGTATTAAAACGTATGCTTAAAAAAACAGATTGACATGGAACAGTTCTTTATAAAGTTCCAGTTATATTTTTGCCATTCATATCTCATTTACATGTTATGAATCATTAAAATAAACTCTCTCCTCTTATCAGTTCGACAAGATGGCTAATTTTGTCCATGTCCGCCTATTTTGTCCATGGTCGTATATTTCACCTTCTGTGTTAAACCTGAATTCATCATAATTTTCTTGAGAATATTCTCTATTTGTTTTCATTGCTACAGGATGTTATGGAAGTAGCAAGGACTCTAACGTTCAGACTGTCATCGGTTGTCCAGATGAGGCTCCATATTGTCTTAATAACCTAACTAACTATGTTGATGGAAAAGCTGAAGTTTCTAAAGGGTAATTACATAGACAGATTTTCTTTATGAAGAATGCAATAGTCTTTGTATTGTACCTTTTTTAATTCATATAAATCTCATATTGCAATATATTGATTCCTTTCCACAGAAAATTTTAATTAAGGTTCTATGATAAAATATGAAGATAATGAACAGTAATCAAGCTCAAAAGTCCATTGGAACAAAACTAATCAGGAGTAGAGCGAACGCGGACCTGTAAAACATCAGAGGTGGGATCAGGTGCCAAGGAGAAGTAACAATCCCGTGTCGATTTGTCACATCCTCCGATCATGATCGGGTAAAAACAAAAATCCCTAGACAGGTCGGTGTGAAAACAATGGCCTAACAATTTGTATGAAAAACGTCAGTCAACATTCGACTTAACGACAGATTGTATTTGCTAACAAGTTATTAAAATTGACGATAGAATTTGCAAAATGTTGACTTTAAACGAGACAGTTGATATCCTTGTATCATCAACTTATTTGCCAATAGCTTGCCTCTTTTTAAAAATTGTTCGTTCGTGTAGCATGCTCTTTCGTATCAAATCAACTGAGAGACACAAACTCCATCTGTAGGTGATTGTGGTATATTGCTACAAAATAAGGGACGTTGACTATATAGAAATGTTGAAGTCATCACGTTTATCATAAAGTTTAGATAGTAGTTTGTCGTTCGTGTCTTTTCCTAGTAAAATATTCAAACAAGAAACATATTATTTGTGGTCTTCAAATTTCCTTGAATTTAATCTTCACTGAAAAACTTTTTTGACTTTTCTTTAGTTGTGCAACCGCTGGTCAGTGCTACTGGATACCACGTGAAAGTTCCTCCTTCTACTGTGACAGATACAGCTCCTCCCACAGCTACTTTGCGGAATTCATGTGCTTCTACTGCTGTACTGGAGAACTATGTAACCATGACACCATTGCCTCCCCGGCAAGTCCCTTCCAACCAACCGTGATTCCACCTAACCCTATAACCCTTCCAACAGTGCAGTCTAGTAAAAACTTTTCCGTAACCTTTACACTCAGCTACATCATCATAATTATTTAATAATTAAGGGATTGTTTCTTAATGATAAGAAAAACTTCTGAAGATGTAAATAAAACAATGAGGTTTTTTTCAGCTGAATGTTACGTTTGTGATGATTGTCATGGCGCTGGAACTTTGTCGACGTGTACCGGAAGTACGCCATATTGTTTGAATCATTATAGCAATTCTCAATGGGGCATCTCACATATTACAAAAAAGTAAGCAGATTTAAAAATGATTTTGCTGTAAATTCAAAAGTTATTCTTAAATCATTTTCCCGTCAACGTCAAATGTTATGAGAAATTTTAAATATCATGCTACAAAAAGAATGTATTTTGATTTAGAAGACTGTGATTTTGTTTTCTTTCTTTGGTTTATTTGTTTGTTGTTGTTTTTTCTTTTCTGTTTTTGTTCTTTATTTTTAAAGATATACACGCTATATAAACACGATTTTTTATATGAAACAAAATGATTAAATGATTTGAGAAACATGATGTGAAATAAAATTACTTTCCACAAAGTTTTACTAAATAAGTCATTGTAATTACAAAACAATTAAGCAAGATCTGCAATTAAGAATTCAGCCTATTCATGAATATTGATGAAGGAAGTGCGTAAACAGTATATAGACCCGCATGTCCGCGGAAAATCATAGACAACGAGGTACGTTGCATTTTGACTACTATTTTGAATAAAAGTTAATATCTGTCATTACAGAGTAGATGGTTAATAATGGTTGTTTTCAAAGATAAGTATCTTTAAACAAAAAACGTATGTCATCCATGTTAAAAGCTATTTTGTATACCAAACGGCCTACCTCGTTTTCTTGACGCCATTTTTGTTTATCAATCTAAAAGTAGCGATGGTGTCATGCATGAATTTAAATATATAGCATTACTTTCCTAGTAGGATAATAAATAATTATAATTTGAGATCTTTCTAATGCGTTCATTTTCAGTTGTGTAATTTACAATATTTTTGTAACTTTGTTTGGTAAACAAAATAAATAAATTTCCAACTTTGTTTTTAACTGACGCAAGTTATAGCGTGTATATCTTTAATGAAGTTGAAAGTAACAAAGATAGGTATCATATTTATGTAAAACACAGTATCTTTCACAGTGGAAGTCTTTAGTTTGCAAACTTAGTATTGATATGAAATGTTTGGATCAACAGGTGCGGATCCAAGCAGGAATGTCACAGTCAGTACTATGAATCTACCAAATATAACTTGCTGTGTTCCCTCTTTAATGAAAACATTCGTGAAAACATGCCGCTGGAGTGCACTTTCTGTTGTACCAGCTCGAACTGTAACGAGCACGCCAGACCTCCACCAAACACACTGTACAAGGAATAAGACAACTATATGTAAAAGTTTTGATAATAAAGATGGTTATAATGTTTGCTTGCTTTAGTTATCTCATCAGAAATCTTGAGGCATGGACATTTTCTAATAAAATGTATTTTTATGAAGAAATTTAAGGGAAAAAAGTACCATTTTTACAGAGATTAATTTTCAAACTCCATTTACGATAATAACTTTTATGAGTTAAAATGTTTTTTTAATTATTTTAAAAAAAAATAATTTGGTTCTCGCTGAGCTATTTACAGGATACAGTCTATCATTCACAACTACATCTTGTTTGTGTATAGGGTAAATAAATGATGGTTTTCCTAGTCTCGCTCAGCTGCTTGGATCAGTGGGCCAGAATTTCATAAATACAGTACAGGTTATGACCCCACAGTCAGATTTGAGCTTAAATCGCAAGAGCCATTGGTTTTACATTTCGGTGGGGGACTCATTGCTCATTTTAAATCATTTAAATATTTTTTTTTTTTTTCTGTTGGGGCCTTTCAAAGATGAAATGCATTTTTCATTACATGATCAAATAAACCCTGTCTTGAGGCCTCAACCCTCGACCAAGGTGGCACGGAAGTTGGGATTGTAAATTATAATTATTTTAACAGTTTATAGAAATCCAAAAGTAACAAAAGAGATGTATTTAAGGAATAACTGTCTAATTTTTTGGATTCATGATGTGATCAATCGAGTGGCTTGCGTGATAATTTGCATATATAAACGCATTCTGCATAAAATTATCACGCAAGCCAACCGATTGATCATCGTCATGAATCCAAAAAATCTGACAGTTATTCCTTATATTTACATGCTCCTGATTCTGCAAATTCCCGTGCTTATAGCCCCCTTCTGTCTCTATTTGTCCCGCCCCGCACGTGATTCTTTTTAACCGCGCCTATCGATGAACCAGTAGATTTATGTAGAAATAAAGTATTTTTACAATTTGTAATTTTATCTCGGACAAAGACATTGGAAATGTAAATATAAGGATATGAAACATTTACGGTTTATGACCAACTCAGCGTCACACTGGTGCCTGACTCTTGGAATCAGTATGTATGGTATATGTCCAGAAATAAAGAAAATATTTCTAAAACTTCATAAAATTGTCTATTTTTTCGAAGATGGGGAAGATGGGCCTTTTTATTCCTCTCTAATAACTGGAATATATTTCACGGTTAGCAAGAAGTATTAATAGCACAACAATGAAATTGATTTTCTTGTGCTTAAAGAGTTCAAAAATCAAGATATTGTTGCGTTTAATAAACTAAAAGAAAGAATAAATACAAGTGGAATATTTCCTGAAGACATCATGGTATGGACGATAACTCTAGAAAATCAAGATTGTTTTAGATTTTCCATTTTTCAAAAACTTGCCAATTCAGCTTTATAAAGTGGAATGTCATAAAATTACGCCAATTTCTAAGCAACATAGAAAAATAAATGAATGATCTAAAATTTTGTATTTAGATATGATAAAAATATTCAAAAGACATTTTTGAAATGTTATTGCTAGTATTAAATGCACTTTCATATATATTTTCCTTTTCATTAAGAAATATCAATAAGTGCAAAAATTTGCTCTCACATAATATACTTTGTGACCTCTTTATAATCTTATCAATAAGGCTTTAATTTCTATATTGGTAACGACAGCATAGATAAAAGGAAAGTACGAATACCTTCAATGCTCCAATATAGCTTGCACTTTGGCAACAAATTAATAATACAATGTACATGTTTATGAGTCTGGAAACTCTTCAATATATTAAATCAATGAAAAAAGAAAAGAGACTAAAAAATGACAATAAATATTTCGAAATTTGTTCATAGTAGTATGTTTTATCTTCTGCATATATTAAAATTAATGTTTTAAGAGATGAATTTAATTTTTGAGAATTCATGAGAACATGAACTATGACGCTTCACGCCTGCATATTTCATGAAGTGCGTTAGCGCTGACAAACATGCAGGCGTGAAGCGTTGTAGTTCATGTCCCTCACGAATTCTCAAAAATTAAATTCATATCTTATATTTACATTATTTTTTCTGATGACTTGCCACATATTTTTGTCATTCAACGATCATTTTTGAAAAAAAAAAGTTTGCACTATTTTTTTACTTCAATCACATCACAATGGAAATATTCTTACTCATCCAACGGTAGTTCATGAGAACATGAACTTTTTCTAATTTGCAAAGAATCTAAAGGAAAAATATTTGGAAATGTAAATATTACGAAATTCACAATTTACCTTTTTTGGCTGACAGCAATAGAATAATACCATCTTATAACTGAAGTATCTAAATCTACCAGACTGATGTATAATTTATATGCAGTACGGATTAACCTTATAAAAATTATAATTTTATTTTCTTTAGTGGATATCTATGTAGCAAACTTAACAAAAAGCACTTACGGTGTTGATTATTCATTCATTGGTACTATGCAAAATAGTGCATGCATACTGCAAATTGCATGGTTTTACAAACAGGTAAACCATTAAGTGCACAAAAATGTACGCTATGTACTCTCTGAACTCCTAAATCTTTGCAACGTGACATTTCTGTACACAAATAATGTGATATTATGTAATGATATCGGTAAGTAGATCATTCTCTACAGGCAAAACATTTGATTACCCTGAAACCTGAATTAAGATAGAACCGACACCGTGCTAAAGTTACGCAACTAAAGGTCTTTAAGGTAGAACCTTGAATATACGACTTAAAAAAATTAGAACAATTCTAATTAAATTTAGAACTACAAATCATCGCCTCCCAGTTGAGACTGGGAGATGGTGTGGAATTCCCTAAAATAATAGACTTTGTAATATCTTTAATAACGAAGGAACAAATAGCAGATAAGTATCATTATATTCCAGAATGTCAATTTTTTCAGAATACCGGAAAAAGCATCTACCAAAAAATACTGTAATAGACCAAATTTTTACAAATTTTCAGAATTATTGTCAACTGCTGACTCCAGTGTATTAATTAAATTGTGTAATTACATATCTAAAGTATATGAACAAGTCTGTCCTCCATAATTATTTCTGTTTATCTAACTTGTATGTATTCCACATGTATCTTTTAGATTGTCTTTGTATATATTGTATATAGAACCTCGTGTTCCACTAAGTGGTTTGAGTGAAATTGTTGCAACTCTTAATGTAAAATCTAGACATCGTGAATTCTCAAAAAATTCAAAGAACTTTTAGAAAAATTTGAAATCACAAGCTTTTCCAAAATCAACGGCAGCAAAAGATATGACTTTTCAACACTTTATACATCCATTCCTCACGTTAAATTAAAAGCCAAACTTTCTGACATCATAGACAACTGCGTCTTCATTAAATATGGAACATGGAAAACTTCATATCTTGTGGGTAATCATACACAAAATTACCTTGTTACAAAATTAACTGAAGTTCGTACTTGAAAAGATGCTAAGAGTTCCTCCTCAATGACAATATTAATAGGGTCTCCCAAATGATTCAGTATTCCCGTAATAAATATGGAAGGGAATTACCGCCAAAAGTCTATTTAACTTGCTTTTATTCTTATTCTGCCTACTTCTTTATTCTTTTTTATTATTGTAACTATATGTCACTTTATTGTTTTCATATTCGTCTTTATTACATTTCACTTTGAACTTTTTTCATTCTTCATTTTGTCCTTACTTCTATGTTGCTTTATTCTTGTAAATTCGTTTTTCTTTCTTTTAAATTGATACAGTTTCTTTAATAAATAACTATGATCATCTCTATTACAAACGTAAATTCAGTCACGCAAACCATGAAGCGCATTCAACGAAGACGAATACAAGTAGTGTGAATTTAATGCGGCATTATAACGCTAGGTGGCAGGGTGTTCGCTGCGAGTGTTGTTAAAATTAGGTACGCAAACCCGGGCCGAGGTTATTCGAGATTTTTCTGCCTTAATACTTTATCAATCGAACCCAAACTTTCAAGTTATGTTAATTATAGGTTTATTTGTATACGCGGTAAAATTGCCCCGAAATGCTCAATATTTTAGATTTTCTCGAAGAAAATTATTTGATTTCCAAGTTTTTGGAAGGCAGTATCAAGCTGACATTTAGTGGGTTTTTTTGACAAAAAGCTAATAAATTTATAAATTATTCTGATGCTAAACATTATATTTTAACTATTTATAAGCATTTCTTCTTTCAAATGTGCTTTTGTTGCTTTAAATAACACGTTTTAAGAAAATCTGGGTCATTAAAACCGGACCAATGATGAAAACTCCAAAATAATTGTGTATTTTCTGTCACCTGAAAAAATAAGTAACTCTATTCAAGTTATTTGTTGGATGATTGAATTTCAGTTTTATTGATATAAAAAATATTAAATATTTTGATAATTACTAGTATACCCTTATAAATTGAGTTGTTTTTCAGGACCCCTATATATTCTTCAACTGAACTGACATTTCTTTATTTCAGGATAATAATTGTTCATGCGCTGTCGCTTGATTCTGGGGAACGCGGGGCTAGTCTGGTTTCGGCCAACCCATAATGCTCTGCAAAGAAGTGCGGAACGTCATGGGTAGGCGTGGCCGGAACCAGGCTAGACCGGGGCATACTAGAAATTTCCCTCAGTTTTTATGAAAATATGTATTAATTTTTTTGTATAGAAATAGCACTTTTCAATAAAGAAATAAATATCTTTAGTAAGCACAGAGTGTTTGACATCAGAATAACTCAAAAAATTATTTTGTCAATGTCTCGTTTGGCCAAAAATACGTAAAATGTCGGCTTGATATTGCCTACCCATCTTAGCAAATTGGAAATCAAAAATCGCCAAAAATAATCTAAAATATTGAGATTTTCAAAATATAAATACAATTGTCATGAATATAAATATTGCCAATTTTTTACAGCGAATTCAGATAAAACTTAGAGACTAGCATTGTTTTTGAAAGGGGCAGCCAGAGAAAAAAAATAATTTACCTAAAAATCTTGACAAGCAAAAAAAAAAAAACAAAAAACAAACAAACACCCCCCCCCCTAAAAAAAAAAAA